AGTCGTAACCGGCGGCATCTCGGCAAGGAGAGAGAGCCTGTAGGACGCCGCAAGAGGCGCAACGTGGGAATCCATCCGTTCGCAGCGGCGGCAGATTGCGGCGCTCCCTGCGCAACTTTCTTCCCTTTTGAAGAATAGCAGTTTTTTTTAAATTCATTCTTTTAGCATCAAGAGCGGGTGGTCCGTTCGCCGGCGGCGTTTCACCTCTCGCAGAGCAGGGCGTCCAAACGCATCGTAAATAAAACCCGAGCCTGTAAATAGGAAACCATTAAGCATCGCATCGGCTCTTTTTATTTGAAGACCTCGATGGGCAAGGTTTATAGCAATAGCAATTAGACTTATATACCGCTTCATAGGGCTTTCAGCCCTCTCTAAGCGGTTTACAGAGTCAGCATTATTGCCCCCAACAATCTGATAGATAGATAGAAAGATAGATTGCAATAGCAATAGCAGTTAGACTTATCTACCGCTTCCTAGGGCTTTCAGCCCTCTCTAAGCGGTTTAAAGAGTCAGCATATCGCCCCCAACAATCCGGGTCCTTTATCTAGGAAGCATAGGTGATTCTCAAATAATGGCTATTGAAGCATCACGTTTTGTCTTTTTCCCCCCCCCCAACACAAAGATGGGAAAAAAACACTGTAAATTCAGCCGCAAAAAAGAACCCGGGCAACGGCTCAATATCAAATTAATGTCAGGCTGTCTCCGGAGACTGGTGGAATGGGAAGCAGCTAGCTAGGACAATGCCACCCCTCTCACTCATTACCCGTTTCTGCCGTTCATCCCCATGATCCATCTGTGGTTGGTTTTTTTAAGCAATCAGCAATTCCAGGTTTTAACTAGCTTGTAAATGTTCAGTTCTACAAGCTTTACCCATCCATTTTTTTTAATTGCAGCATTTTAATTCCTTTTCTCTGTTCAGCTGTTAAAATATGCTGGTTCATATTTTAGTTTAAGCTTCCTTGGCTCATGACGTTTTGTCTGGTTTGTCATGAAATGTAAGAGTGGAATTAATACATTTCAGTTTAGTTCTGTAATGTCAGATTTTAAAAAAAATAAAAAGATGGATTGGGGGTAGAAAAAAAAAACCTGCAGCTTTCCTTCACTGCGCCTGCGCAGTGCTCCCCAGCGGGCTGTTGGCCATGCTGGCAATGACGTCGCGCCACCAGGATATTCTTTTTTCCCATCATGCACCAGCGGCTCTCGCGATCCGAGGGAGACGTGCGTCCGCTTTCCTCCCCTCTTTGCGTGGTGACGTACAGCGCCGCCATCTTGGGCAAGGCGGGGGTCACGTGACTCTCAACCGCCGTCTCCTCGGCCTCCTCTTTGCCCCTCCCAACGGGCAGCAAAGGGAGGAAAAAAAAAAAAAGACGGGCCTAGGTTCACTTTCGAGCCTTGAAGAACCGCGACCGCCGTCGAACTGCTCCACACCGGCGAGGGGAACGAAAGCGACCACGGAATCCGACCTTTCCGCGATGAGGCGCTGGAGGACATGCGCGCCTCCATCTTTTTTTTTTTTTACTCCTCCTCGCCTTCCTTTTTTTTCTCCTCCCCCTCCCTTTCCTTTTCCTCAGGAACCAGCCTCGGTGCGGCGTCACGTGACCCCGGCCGGCGAGACCACCTGACTGCGCCCCTGAGCCGCGCGTGCGCACTGCGGCCCTCTTGGCCTTGCGCTTTGGAAAAGTGGGGGGGCAGGCGAAGAGAGAGAGGAAGGAAGCGCGACGGGCGGTCACGTGGGCCTGTTTCGCCCGGCAACAAGGAGGGCAAGCGCGACCCTGGCCTCGCGGCGGTCACGTGGGGCCGGCGTCAAACGTCGCGGAGGAGGCCGATCCTTCCGCGCAGGCGCGCCTCCTCCCTTCGGCTCTGCCCCCCCCCTCCTCTCCGCCTGAGGGAGGGCGCGAGCGGAGGGCGCGCGGGCCAAGATGGCGGCGGCGAGTTAGAAAGCGGCGGACGGCGCGACGGCTGCTGAGGCGACGGCCGCGGGGAGGACGCAGCGGCGGCGGCGAGGAGGGCGGAGGAAGAAGAAGAAGAGGAGGAGGAAAGGCGGGAACGGCGACCGGGAGCCTCCTCGGCGGGGCCCTCCAGACGCGGCCAGAGTGAGTCGTCCTTCCTCCCCCCCCCACTACTGCCCGGCTTCACGGGTCCGAGTGGCTGCCGCCTAAGGAGAAAGAGGCGGCCTCGTCCGGGCGCCTCCGCTCCGCTCGCCCTGCGGGGGCTCCAAAACAGCCGAGGCGATGAATGGCGAAAGGCTCCAAAGCGGCGTCCGCAGTGACGCGGGGAGGGGGCTTCTTCTCCGCAGAAAGAGGGTCTTTTTCATCCCCTTTCCCGGCCGCTTCCCTGTGTGTCTCCGGGTGCTGCATCCCCAGGAAAGAGAGAGAGAGAGAAAGAAAAGAGGCAGCCTGTGGGGGGGAGACCCTCCTGCCCCCCATGAGGCATTCTGGCTATCCACACATATANCCACGGGAACATCACATTTGGTAGCAGAGGATGGTTACTTCGCAGCCCTCCATGTTCAGAAGATCTTAAAACCTCCCCCGTGTTTTCCTTCCCACAGTGCGTGGTCATTGGGCTGCAATCCACAGGAGAAGCACGGACCTTGGAAGCTTTGGAAGAAGGCGGCGGGGAACTGAATGACTTTGTTTCCACAGCGAAGTAAGCCCCCCCCTGTCAATCCTGCAGGTTTCGGCTCTTCAGGTTCTTCCAAAATTCAAGAGGGCAAACTTAGAAACATCGGGTGGGCCGCACAAGAATTTGGATTCGTTTTATCAGCAGTACTTCAGAAATTTGTGGCTTCCATTCTCCACCTCTAAACCAATGTCCTTCAAAGTATGCTGCCTGGGGGAGGGATTCTGTGAATCGGAAGTCTGCACATTTTAAAAGTTGCCAACTTTGGAAGACACTTACCTGTTAAACAATCCGTGATTTCAAACTGATGAACTGTTTAATAGCAAGTATGTGCTGTGTGGCTAAGGCACGGGGGCCGAGACGCTGAGCTTGTCGATCAGAAAGCTCGGCAGTTCAGCGGTTCGAATCCCTAGCGCCGCGTAATGGAGTGAGCTCCCGTGACTTCTCCCAGCTTCTGCCAACCTAGCATGTAAAAAATGCAAGTGGAAAAATAGGGACCACCTTTGGTGGGAAGGTAACAGTGTTCTGTGCGCCTTCGGCGTTTAGTCATGCAGGCCACATGACCACGGAGACGTTTTCAGAAAGCGCTGGCTCTTCGGCTGAGATGAGCACCGCCCCCTAGAGTCGGGAATGACTAGTACATATGTGCGAGGGGAACCTTTATGTGCTGTGTGTGTTAGCTGGAGGTGTCAGTTCGCGAAGAACTGGTGCAGTGCATCTCTTTGAGGTTACATATGAAAACTCTTCTTTAATATTACGGTAACACTCTGAAAGGAGGTTTATGGTCCGTGAGAAACCAGTAACGCCCCCACTTTTTGACTGAGAAGAATATGCTGAACCAACGAGTCATATTTTCCCAGAAGGATGGGTTTCCTATCGCAAGGCAAGGGTGGGCCGACTTAATGCTTCTGTCTGTTTTGTGCCCTAGCCCCTCAATTCTGTCTACGCTGGGTGATGCTCTTGGGCTGGCTTTAAAACACCGCTGTTGTTTTTTCTCTCTCCGAACTGTGCAGGGGGGTGTTTCAATCCCTCATCGAGAAACATTTCCCAGCTCCCGATCGGAAGAAACTTTTCAGCTTGCTGGGAATTGACCTCTCCCTCCAGAGTAACAACAGCTCTCCCCGGGACAGTCCTTGCAAGGAGGATAAAGTAAAGAAACGCAAAGGTAAAAACGGAGCCCGTTTCGTTGCCGTTTTAATTTGGTACCATGGATGCTATTTTAAACAGATGTGCTATACCCATCTAAGGGACGCAGTGGCTAAGAAGCTGAGCTTGTCGATCGGAAAGGTCGGCAGTTCGACGGTTCGAATCCCCAGTTCCACATAATGGAGTGAGCCCCAGTTACTTGTCCCAGCTTCTGCCAATTTAGCAGTTCGAAATCACGTAAAAAATGCAAGTAGGAAAATAGGGACCACCTTTGGTAGGAAGGGAACAGCGTTCCGTGCGCTTTCGGCATTGAGTCATGCCGGCCACATGACCACGGAGGCGTCTTCAGACAGCGCTGGCTCTTCGGGTTTGAAACGGAGATGAGCACCGCCCCCTAGAGTTGGGAACGACTAGCACATTCAGATTAGAATTTAGACACGGAGAGATAATTCTCTTTGTTTCTTTTTGAGAAAACCTAAAATTCCCAAGGAAAACACACTTGAATTGCGTGAATTAAGTCAGCAGAATCTCTGCAGAGTTTTTTCATTCAGTGTCTTATTANGTGCATTAGGTACGCTTGTGTGAGATGCATGCCTGATGAATGCTTTGTTTTGGAATTTAAATCAGAAACCTACCATAGATAGTTTTCTGGGTTGCTGACACTGGGTTGGGAAGTAGGGTAACAATCGCTCGTTCACAAATTATTTTTCGGGTTAATTGTTGCAGTAGGCAAGTTTTATGTTTTGAAGGTCATAATGGGGAGGGGGTTTCAAATCCTCAGTTATTGAAATACGGGGGAATTTAATTATGCAGAATAGTATTATATTTTCTGCATTCTCCCGTAAAAATGTGCAAAAATTAAATTGGAAACCACTTGGTAGAATTTGTGTATTTATAGCATCTCATTGGACAATTTAGCTGCCAAGATGAATTGTTCCTGGAAAACATATTTAATATGTGACACATAAGATAGTCTTTCTCAGTTTAATGAAATTTGTATACAGTGACAGAGTAAAGGGTGTTCTAAACAAACAATACCAAAGCAGAAACTTCTGTGGGAATCTAACAGCTTTCTGATTTATTTGAGTGCCAAGCACAATAAAATCAAATGTTTTTCTTTTTTCTTTTTAAGACACAGTTTTTAATGCTATTTGGCGTTGAGTTAGGGAAGATAATGCGTGCACGTTTGAAATGGAACAGATCATCTTTCATATCTCTTGTTTCTGCTTTAGTTCAAATACGGGAAAATTTCTTCCAAGCACAATGGGAGCGTGAAGAAGGGGGTCATCTTTGCGACTTATTCTTCACTTATCGGGGAAAGTCAGTCCGGCGGAAAATATAAAACCAGGCTGAAGCAGCTTCTTCATTGGTGCGGAGATGACTTTGACGGAGTGGTATCCTTTTCCGGTTGCTAGATTGGGGCAATTATCCCTCTTATTAAATTAGCATCTTTTGATTGGTGTCTGATACTCTTTTATAAGTTGCATTTTTCAATTCCAAGGCTTATCAAAAATTTGGAAAGCAGATAATGCCTCCAGATAGTGGCGAACCTCCGGATAAAGTAATTTTTCAGTTTTCAGAGGTTCCCAGAATCACCAACAATGACTTCCCTGGCTGGGGAATTCTGGGTACCGAAGGTCACATGTCAGTTGAAAAACACGGCTCAGTTTTGTATCTCGGCTAGTTAATTCCTAGAAGGTTGTGCTGATTTTTAAATCGCCATGTTTGCCTGGAATAGTTCGTTGAAACGTTCGTTAACATCCCTTACTTACAGCGGATTTATTGTTCAACATTGGTAAAATAAACATACCTAATTGATGAATATATATTGGTTATAGAGAACAATTTCTGGCTTCCATTCAGGGGAATGCTTACTGTGCAACTTAATACATGTGTGTTTGTGAAATGTCTTGTTTCTTAACCACGTCCTCAGATCGTGTTTGACGAATGCCACAAGGCTAAAAACCTTTGCCCAGTTGGCTCATCAAAGCCAACTAAGACAGGCTTGGCTGTTCTGGAACTGCAGAACAAGCTTCCAAAGGCCAGAGTTATTTATGCTAGCGCCACAGGTAAGTGGTGTTTCCATCATGCGAACATCGAGTGGATTGCAATGCTGTTTTCAAAGGGGGTAGGGGGAAACCTGGATAATTTTCTTTTTTTTTTTTTAAACGTTTCCTTTCAGGTGCTTCAGAGCCCCGGAACATGGCATATATGAACCGCCTTGGGATCTGGGGGGAAGGGACTCCATTTAGGGAATTCAGCGACTTTATCCAAGCAGTTGAAAGACGGTAAGTTTGTAGGGCTTGGCTGGTGTTGTGTCAAAATGGGAGAAGCCGTCGTCGGAAGCGTTGGCGCAGCTTCTCAAAGTTCCAGCAGGTCCCCGTGAGAATAATCTCCCTTTAAAAATCGTCTTTTTTCTTCTTCTTCTTTTAATCTTCAGAGGCGTGGGCGCCATGGAAATAGTTGCCATGGATATGAAGCTAAGAGGAATGTACATAGCCAGACAGCTGAGCTTCTCCGGGGTCACCTTCAAAATAGACGAAGTTCATCTTTCTCAGCACTACGTCAAAATGTATAATAAATCTGTGAAAATGGTAAGCCTTTAAAAGGGAGAAGTTGGCGGCTCTCGGGACGCTTTGAGAAAGATCACGGCATTAACTCCTTGCAGGAGAAACCCCAGTGAATCTTTGGAACGGTGTAAAGACGAACAGGAACAGCGTGAAATAGCAATAGCAGTTAGACTTATATACCGCTTCATAGGGCTTTCAGCCCTCTCTAAGCGGTTTACAGAGTCAGCATATTGCCCCCAACAACAATCTGGGTCCTCATTTTACCCACCTCGGAAGGATGGAAGGCTGAGTCAACCCTGAGCCGGTGAGATTTGAACCGCCGAACTGCAAGATAACAGTCAGCTGAAGTGGCCTGCAGTACTGCACCCTAACCACTGCGCCACCTCGCCTCCTATTCTATTCCATTCCATTCTATTTTTCTATACTATTCCATTCCATTCTATATTTCTATTCCATTCCATTTCATATTTCTATTCTACACCAAAAACCTCTTTCTCAGGTTTTCTGCAGGCGTTTTATCCCCCATCCCAGAAGGGGCTTAGACAGTAAAGAGTTGCCGGATATTGTAAATGTTTCCTCCACTCCAAAGAAATCATTCGGTGAACCCTATGCAGAGTTATTGGAGCAAGGAGCAGCTGTAGTCATGCTTAAACTATGTTGTGATTGGTAGAATATAATCACCTTTCCTAAACTTAAAACCTGACATTTCGGTAGATTGTTTATAGAATATGATTTATACATTACTGAAAAACAGTGGATTCCAGATATATTTTTTTTTAATTCGAAAACTACTACCCAAAATTTAAGAACTAAGACTTTTAAGAAGCAGTAGTCTGTGGACTTTCTCAATCATCCAGATCATGTTTGTCCCAAAGTGCTTTTTTTCGGAAAGGCAGCTGGACTTCACTTGGTGCTTTCTTTGAAAACGTTTCACTTGTCATCCAAGAAGCTTCTTCAGTCGGTTTAGTCTAGCATCCTGTTCTGACCCCCACCTTGCCTGTTCGAAAACGAAAGCCAAACAGAACTCCAAAGGAATGTTTTTATCAGTCCAGGCTCTTGCTGGCTGCAAGCCCAAAATAAACACAGATAAAATGCTCTGGCAAAAGTGTTCACTCGAATTAATACAAGGCAGGATTACATAAATCAAGACACTTATCCAAACGCCTTTCTCAATGGTTGCACACGAACGGAGAACGTGACTAGAACAGGAACGGAACGGAATGAAACGTTGACTTCTGCAACCAGGGCGTGTCACCACCATCAGTCTTTTATCCGCAGGAGGAGACCCTAATGAGCAACAGCTGCTCGTTATCCTCTCCTGTGAGTCGGTCAGCCCTGCATCCCGAAACAACTCACGGGAGGTTTCTGCTGAGTCACAACAGCATCCTATCCTCCCATTTTATATTACTGATCCTTTTATGTCGCTCTGAAAACTCTGCTTTCCTTTTTTTTTTTTTTTCTTCAGTGGGTAAGCGCCCGGGAGAAATTCCAACAGGCCGCTGACCTCATTGACGCCGAACAGCGCATGAAGAAGTCCATGTGGGGCCAGTTCTGGTCTGCTCACCAGAGATTTTTTAAATACCTCTGCATTGCATCCAAAGTTAAAAGAGTGGTTCAGCTGGCCCGGGAAGAGATCAAGAATGGCAAGGTGAGCGACTTGAGCTCCTGGAATGACAGGTGAAGCACCCGTCTGATGTTGTAATATAGTTCCTTGTGTAGATGTGGGACACCCATGGCCCAGTTCATAACGGGGCATGCAGAGCCACGCTGG